AGAAATATTCGTATTCATGTTATCCAGACCGCGTTCGAACATGGTCGCGATGCCATTATCACTTTTCGAATTATAGTAAAAAAATCATGTGCCAACATTGGGCCAACCTTGCGCCAATCTAGCGCCAACTTTGCACCAACCTTGCGGCAAACTTTGAACTAATATTGTTTATCCAATGGGGGTCTCATGAGAGTCTTATGGGGGTTTTATATCCATTCGGAAGCAGATTGCTAATTTATTAACAAGAACAGGTACAATAATTGTAAAAAATTGAAAACAATATTCCACTTGTTTTATTTTCGTATTTGTTTTTTTAGCAAATTTTTACTTTAAAATTTGTTTTTCCTTTGATGTTTGGACCTCACTTTTTACACATCCGTGACGAAAAATAGTATTTGTCATTCGGCCATTACACGCGTTATGGTGCAATAAATTGGGTCTCATTTTCAAGCCTGACAAAATGCTTTCAAGATAAAAAAACGTAAATTTCCCTCTCCCAATCTGGCGCTATTGATTATTTAAAACGAATCGTTGTATCCTTCTCTCCCCTCTTCAAATAGCTGGTAATAAATTTTTATTCACATCAAATAAATAGTTTTTTGAGTGTAAAGACACGTTTTCTTGATCCAAATGAAGACTATCAGTCAAAAATGAAATCATTGGTTAGGTGGTGAAGGGAACGAATTTATCAACATGTAATAAACCTTTATTCGGATCAAATAAACCGTTTATTGGATTCTGATAGAGAATTCATTTGGAATAAATCAATTGTTATTCCCTTTGACAATCGTAAGTCACGAATCGTGTCGGTGTGAGGGGAGTAGGGAGCCCCTCAACGTATTAGTGCGGCATAAGAAGGGTCCAGTTGAGCACGCCCACCACCACAGAATGATGAAGAGTGGGGTATAGAACATCGTAACATAATTTGGCATTGGATTTTCATGGATTGAATGAAAATAGGATTCACTGTACTAAATAGATTTTTCCGACATTTAGATGGTGAATGGCACACTGATAGACAAAATTATTTTTATTGAGGGGTTTCTTTCTTGGAACAAGTATTACATACTTGAACCAATTCCAAATAGATGAGATCTTACGGTGAATATCAATTATTTCTTCTTGAGATACATTTATTTGTATCAAATTACTTATTCACGCGGGAAACACTGTCATCTACGTGTAATGCATCAATGTCTTTAAACCTACTTATTCATTTCCTATTTCGTTGAAGAACAGGGGAGATCGGGGGGAAATGGACAGAGGGGTAGAAAAATTCTTGTTTAAACAGGGAAAATCAATAGTTGAAAATCTTACTCTGTATAATTTGAGATGTCCGTTTCTGCGGAAATTCATGGAAGGTTCGAGAAAATTAGAAAAACTACTCCAGATTTATGCCGCAGTTTTCTGCGGGGTAATTTGTACATTAATTTAACTGCGATTTTATCATAAAATGACGGTAAATTTTATACAAACTTCTCGATTGATTTGAGGGCTTACGTGTGAGAGCTTTTGGTAAATTTTAAGAAAGAAGGCCCACCACCGATCTTTCTGAAAATTTAACCATCGGATCGGTGGTGGGGCAGTCTTTCTTAACATTTACTTTCAATTCTCTTTGGTTTGTTAGGCGGGCTTCATGAAAATTCGATGCAAGACGATTGTACTCACGAAAATCGGCTTACCTTCTCCATTCGTTCGAAATATCACCCGTCCTTTTTTAAAGAAAAGATTTCAGTTTCCATGAAATTTCAAGGAATTTCGTCATTGAAAATTCACAATTTCATGGAAATATCGATAAGAAATGAACATATCAATTCAATTATTCCCCGAAAATTCCTAGAAATTCGGATAATTCCAAGGAATATATTCTTGAATTTTCTACTAATTGAATTGAATGAATTCAATCCGCAATTCGGCACCGAATATTCATCATTTAATTGAAAATTCAAATGAGTTGGGAAATGTTTATCTCAATGATGTTCAAAAATTTGAAATTACATTAAATTTTCAGTGAAATTCCAAATTCCATTATTTTTCGCCTGTTAAATCCCGTTTAATGTCACTCTTCTGAAAATTGCCAGTCGAGTGTCCAAAACGACATTTCAAATTTTCTCGATCAGTGCAGCGGTTAATGAGACAGTTTTCCGAAGAATTCCCCTCAACATCACGGCAAAATTAGTTGAACGCATCATGAGATTAACCATGCATTTGAAAATTTGTTCCTCACAAAGTTTAATTTGAAATTTATCAAAATGAGAAGGAGATTGAGTTTAAACAGTCCCGGGGTTTACAGCTTAGCGTGCAAATGTTGTTCGCGAAGTTTGGTATGTACTCAACCTGTATTAAGCTCGTTACAGTAGTGTGCAGGTAACATAAAAGCCGATAACCAAAGTCTTCCTAAAACCCTCATCCGGTACCCATGCGCTTATGAAGCGGCACCACGAAAGACGGTACTGGTGCAGTGAACTGCTGGAATTACCTCACGCACGTGTGGATACCGACCAAATGTAGCCACAGGACAGTTGCAAGGGACGAGCACCGAATATCAAAATCTTAATTTCGTTGGAAATGCAGTTCGAGGACGATAAGACCTCTGACCTCCGGAGCTCGGAGAACCTTATTTGGATTATCGTCGAGTACATGCGGTAGCGACGTGAGAGAATATACGAGTGCATTTTTCAGGTCTTTTGAGGGTCATCATTTTGTAATTTCGAGATTAATGCACAACTGACTGACTTGTCCTGTGATTTTTTGCACAATGCAGACGTCAATCAGCTACACGGAGAGAAATTTTTTAGAAAAATTCTAGTGCTAGCACCGGAACAGAGGTGCAAAATGACGCCCAGGAAAAAAATCCAGTGCCGGCACTAGAAATTTTATTGAGGAAGACGTGAATTTTTCCCCGTATTCCTGTGAAAATTTCACAGAAATCTCTAGAAATTTTACCAGAAATAGCAAGAGATTTTATCTTAACAGTACTAGAATTTTTCACAGCCGGTGGATTGTGATTTTTTCCAGTACTCGTACTAGAATTTTTATAGAAAATTTCGCTCCGTGTATAAGTCATTAGTTTTGTATTATTTAACGACAGAAAAAAAATATTGTCTGATATTATTCATTCAATTGTCACATCCAGTGATTTAAAAAAAGGTATGTGAAATCCCAGTTACAGAAAATTTTTGTGTTGTTTGGGATACCATTACTCTACCATTACGATAAATCTAACGATTATTAAAAAGTTTAGAATCCTTTTTTTTCACAATTTAATGAACGTTTTGGGTTTTTAAAGGGAAAATGTTGATTAATCAGAGTTTAACCGAACGTTTTGTGAAAATCAATATTTCCATTATGATTAAAAACGAAGATCTGATTTTTGCTTCCGAACGGAAGCTTTGTAAATGCAATTTTTTTCGATTTTCTAATCTTGCTTGTTTTTCATTAGCTGTGAAACAATTTATACATTTTCGAACATCTCATAGGAAATTCATTCAAGAAAATATTTAGAAAAAATATTGATATATTGCAAAATGTAAGTGGAATTATACTGCTGACGTACGATTTTTTTCAAATCTATAGCGCAGCCCGTCGAAAGGGTCAGCAGCAGTCAACATGGCCCAAAAGAATTTAAATAATTTGAAAACATGTGACCGGGAACGTCTGTTTCATTTGAATGATATCCAAGTATCTTTTATAGTTTGGTACAGGCCACACTATAGAGTCAACCATTTTCAATCATCAAATTTGTCAATTAAATTGCGTGAGAGAAATTTGAATAAAAGCATGAATATTCAGCGGCATTTAAACGACTTTTTGCTCGGAATTTTTTTCAACATTCATTGTTTATAAGTAGATAATTGAAATTGTTTGACTTGCGGAAACGTTTTTATAAATTTGTCGCGATTCCGAACAAATGATTTTTACGGTGAAAAATTGATTGTTCAATTGTATGAATTATTTATAAAAAATGCTCGTAATTTTCAAAAATTGCAATTTTTAAATTATTTCGTCAATCTTCCTCCAAAAGTAAACTTTCTATTTTTTCAGATTTTTAAAATGTTTCAAAGCCTAAATAGGACCTGCAAAGCGTTATAGGGTCGAGAAAAAATGGCCAAGTCCTTGGATATTTTTACGGTAAAACAAATTCACACGCGCAAAGTAATTTTTTGACCCCGAGAAATTGTTGAGTTTTTGAAAAGTGCGAAATCTTTTTCAAGTTTTCAAGGTTTTCGCTATAGTTTACAGTCGATGAAACAGGAAATCCTGCTGTCCTGATAAATTATCAGAACAACAGGATATACCGATAGTCGACGAGACAGAACTCAAATTAACAAAATTATGGAAACATCGATTATCATTATTGTAACCGAATTTAATGAGAATTGTGTTGAAAAAAATACAATTGCGATAAACATTATTTTTTATTGCAATTAAATTTACCGCAGATGAATTTATCGTCAGTCCTTTCATGATTTCGTCATGAATGTCTTCATTTTGAAACAACAATACTTTAATTCTCCAAAATTTCTTCTCAAAATAATGAAATTCAATCAATAAAAACCAAAAAACGCAGGAATTTGAGCTGCATGATGCGGGCAAATTTAATTATAAAATGTTAAGTACCTTTTTGCAAGAATAGAAATTCGGTACATAAAATACTAGGGGAGGCTGGGGTAAAACGGACACTTGACTTTTTTTTAAATGTTAATGAGGGGTTGAAATGTTGATGAAATTTGATAACTTTTTTTTTCAATACAAAGAACAATTCTTTCCCTTTGGGATGAGCCTAAACTGAGCTCAATTGGTAAATTTGTTTCTGAGTTATGAATAATTTTAAAAAAGTCTAAAGTGTCCATTTTGCCCCACCCTCCCCTAATATTAGAAATCATGCTATCATTATTATTGTAAAAAAATCAAATCAATGAATTCAAAAATTCCTTCAAGAATTCCTTCATGTGGTTTTACAGATGCTCTTTTGACTCACGGATTCACAGTTTGTTTTGAAACCCAACTGTCACTCTATTGTGCTCCAAAAGTATTATTTTGGTTACTCACAGAAATTAAACAAATTGTGACATAATCTCAAACAACTTCAATCGATGTTCTTATTCCACGTCAGAAAAATAAATCATCCACGATCCAAACGATTTGAATAAGCTGAACCAGTTATATCGGAGAAATAGCTGCAAGATTGTGGATGCATCCCTCTATTTCCCTTCGTGGATTGACCTCTACTAAAAATGGTTCGTACTTTCATACATAAATAAGTTTCTCATCTCTTGAATCCTCTCTAATGGATGAATTTAATCATTTTGTGAATTAAACACACGACCTGTTCACATTTTTCATCAATTCGCGAGTAACTTTCGAGGTTAGAATTTACCTGAGAGTTTTTGGCGGGAATCCCACAGGAAAGGAATAAAAATCAGTATTTTCTAAATTGCGACCTTTTCCACTATCAGAATTTCACCAGAAAGGGACTTCATGCTAAAAAAAATCAGTAGCGAAACGGTAAAACGTTCAAGTTGATTTTTACTATCGGTCAGTTTTCAATGAATATCTCTGGATCTAAGGCAGATAGCAAAATTTTTATCATAAACTTTTTTATAGAGCGGGTCAAGATCTACAAAAAAGGTCATTACGAAAATTTCTCTATCTCCCTTAGATTCGGAGATATTGGCCGAAAATTCAGAAAAATACAGTGAATCACTTATTTATGTGAAGATACCACGGACGAAAAATTTTAATAGAAAAACCTAGCGAATTCAATTTTTCTGTATAATTTATTCCATTCAAATATTTTCTATAGAATTTGCTCGGTTCAAAATTTGCAAGTTTTTTTCATTCTATTTTTCTTTTCTTCTCATCAAGACAATCAAACAAAAAAACTTAGAAAATTTGAGCCGAGAGAATTCTATAGAAAATATCTGAATAGAATAATTCGTACAGAAAAATCGAATTCTATTGACTTTTTCTACAGAAAACTAATAGAAAGTCCAATAGAATTTTCTAACGAATTCACTAGGTTTTTCTATTAAATTTTTTTATAACTCGGGAACAAAGCGTCGAGAACAAAAATTTCATTACAGTTTTCGCCTCCAAACAACCCCCGAGCTACCCTCACGATATGTCAGATCTATTTTGGGACACCCTGGACAAATTTAACGCAAAAAACAAGTAGAATTGTCTGACAGAACTCCAATACACTAAGAGAAAAATGACAAAGTTCTCAAACAAGTCTTACTTATGCTAAGAAAATATTTTTTTGAAAATTATCAAAAAAGGATTTTTTTGTGCCAAACATGCAGAGAGTGCGCCGGAATGAAAAATTCATGTCCCAAAAATAGATTTAGTAGTACAAAAAAAATTGCATTCTCTGTACACGCAAGAAATGTCATTTCTAGCACTACTCCTTCGTTATTCGATACTCCCATACGTATTTTGCTCCCGAAAAATCTTTGTTCTATGCGAAACAAGGGATAGTAGTTTTTCGTTTCGGCTGTCTAATAATCACAGACAAGAAATTAACCCTTAAATGAAACAATAATAATGATATGATAGCAATCTTGTAACTTAGGGATAAAATATTTGTTGATAAATGTTCCTCTATGAGATATTTTCATCCCGAAAAGGCACCGTCTGGTGTGAATTATCCGCCTCTTGAGCCAAACATTTCGTTGCTGTCAAAAGCAGAACAATTATTCATGTTTGAGACTTTCACATTCGAACCAAACAAATTCTTTTTTGACAATTTTCAACTAGCGATTTTGTTGGCCCAAAAAAGACTTATTTGACAACATGTTCGTTTTTCTCTCAGCGTAGAACAGAATTCAATAGAATTTCTTAGAGCAAGCGCAATGTTTTTCATGCGTGCATTCTCATTTGTTCCTCCGCCCAGGATTACCCTTCCGTGAGAGTTCTGAGTAATCCCTGTGACCCAACTGTTGAGCGTCACTTCAGAGGTCACAAAAAGCCCCTCACAAACCTGACATTCCACCCAGATGAGCACCAAGTGGCGACGTCAAGCCTAGACAACACCTTCATGGTGTACACATTCGCAGACTCGATGAGAGCGAATCGCTTCATCTCTCACAAAGATGCTGTCCAGGATGTCGATTATTCCCCCTCTGGGGAAGTAATCGCCACAGCGTCTAAGGACAGAACAGTCAGGATCTGGGTGCCAACAGTCAGAGGGGAGTCACTGGACTTCAGAGCTCACACTGGAGCGGTGAAATCCGTTCGGTTCAGTCGAGACGGCCAGAATTTGCTCACTGCTTCTGACGACAAAATCGTGAAGCTCTGGGTCGTGTGCAGGAGGCGATTCCTCAAGTCCTTCGTTGGGCACACGAACTGGGTGCACTGCGCCAGATTCTCCCCCGATGACAGGCTGATAGTGTCTTGTGGGGATGATAAGACCATCAAGTTGTGGGACATCGCCAGTGGAAAGTGCGTGAGGACCATTACAGAGCTGAAAGACCCAGCTCTCGATGTGGAGTTTCATCCGAGTGGCGTTGGCATTGGGGCTGGGAATGCGGGGGGATGTGCCAAGTTCTTTGATTTGAGGACCGGGCAGTTGCATCAGCATTACACTGCGCATACTGGGGCTGTTAATAAAGTGAAGTTCCATCCGAATGGGAACTTTATGCTGACTGCTTCGGAAGACGCCACGATGAAGGTAAGATCCTTTTTAAAAATAAGCATGGGTAATATCTCAAATGAATGGAGAAAGTAGGCGGTTTTCGTGAGTACAATCGTCTTGCGACGAATTTTCATGAAGCCCGCCCAACAAGCAAAAGAGAATTGAATACCATTGTATGAAACATCAATTAACGAATCATAATTGTCCAAATAGGACATTTAAGTAAGAGGAAAATAGAATAATTCTACTTTCTTAATATTGCGTTTACTGAGGTTTTCTTCGAACAAAGTTGATTAGGATTAATAGCTAGAATTAGGAGATTGTCTCACATTTTTGACGTTGAGAATAGGAGAGTCTGAATCCAATATAGTGAAAATGATGATCGATTTTTTCACTTTGAACAAATAATATTAATATCCAAATACAAAATTTCTGATATGAATAAAAAGAAACTGTGACTCAATATTCCAAATGCAGTTTTAATTTTTAATTTGGTACTGAAAACACGAGATGACAATATTCTAAGGATGGAGTTGTATTGATGAGATGAACAACAGATTAATTGAATTACCGTGTGAACTAACTAAAAATTGATAACAGTGTGGGCACGCACTTTTACCAGAGTATCAACAAACATTGAGTTCCAGAAATTCACACTCTAAAGTGAGTTCTACAAAAAATTGAATTGTAATTATGATTAAAATCTTATTCAGTGCGCATAGGAATTAGAACATGAGCAGATCATTTACTGTCAAATGAAAGTTTAGCAGCTGTAAATTGACTTGAGGTTCTCATTGGTCGTATTGCTCTTTACAATGAGAATGATTATAAAAAATTAATTGAAAAAAGGCATATCGAATCTGGCAGGAAAAAGGGCATAATGAAATGGTGCAGCTAGTTCACGAAAAAAAATTATAGAAAAAATTAGCGAATTCGATAGAAAATTCTATTAAAAAAAAACCACGCTGTCATTAGATTCTAGATTTACTCGAGGGTCGTCCAATTTACACTCTGAAAGCTCACTGTGGAGGTGTTCGAGCCATTGGTTTCTCCCCAACGGGAGAATTCTTCGCTTCTGGTGGAGCTGATCAACAATTGTTGGTCTGGAAGTCCAATTTCGACAGGCAGGAAGCAACGAGAAAGGGCAAGAGGACTCTCTATCCAGATGATGCTCGGTTGAATTTGGAATCCCAAATTGATGCTCTTCATATTGACAATGGGCAAGACTCATCGGGATCTTATGTGGATGCCAGGGAAAATGTTGAAGAGAGTGGGGAGGATGGAGAGAGAGAAGAATTGGAGGTAAATTAATTCTCCAATTAGACAGGACATTATTCCATCATTCATATAGATTACGAGAGCTAGGGCACATTTTTACTTTATATCATTTTTGAGTTCTTAGAAACTGAACTAGTTTTCAACGATGGAAATTCATTTGATTTGGTGTCTTTTTTTCAATTTATTCGTAGACTTCAAGTTTAAACTGTCAGAGGGATTAGACTTTCTCCCGAATATATTTCTCTATCAACTCATAGAAAAAAAAAGAATTTTGTTGCGTAAAAACTCATTCTTTAGGAATTTTTTCTATAAGAATTGTTGAGCATGAATTTTCAATCTTCTTTTATTGGATTTTGCGAAGAAAAATAAAAAGTGAAACGGATGATCAAATATATCATGAAAATATATCGAATTTATTCATATGTGCATCATTACACATTAGACAAAGACTAAAAGAATTTAGAAATCACTTTGCTTTCATTCAAAAAATGAATTTTTTTGTGTGAGGAGAAAAGATAATAGTTAATGTCCATTACATATTATTCAATTCTATCCTGTTCTATCGTTCTTCATATTTCGTAGAAAATGTCAACAGATATTAATTTTTCGGTAAAAAAAAGTACTCCATTGAAATTTTTTCTATAAAAATTCTCAAGCATGAATTTCCAATTTTTTTCATGGATTTCGTAAACAAAAACAAAGAAAACCCAGCAAAAATAATTAATTTCTGAAAAATTCCAAAAGAATAATTCATGTGGGGAAATAAAAATCTATTAAATTAATTCATATGTGCATTCTCGAATATCAGACAAAACCCAAAAGAATTTAGAAGTCATTGCATTCATCTCAGTATGTAACAGAATTGGGTGATGTAAATATGGAAATGGCGAGAGGAAGAAGCTGTTTTGGTCCAATTGCAGAGATTCCGGGGGAGAGGTATCCAGTCGAAGTGATAAATCTGAGAAGCTCGTGGCCACAGCAGGAAGGGAGAGCAGGAAAGCCCACACCCTCCAGGATTAATCAGAATGTCCTTGTCAAGCCCCTCACAAGCAAAAGTCTCGAACAACTTCTCAGCAATCAAGTGGAGGCTCTGAGGAACACGATCGTCCTTCTCGAGCAGAGGCTCACGAATGTTGAGGAGAGGCTCAAACACTAGATTAAGTATTCACATCACGACTTTCCATTCAATCTTTAGCATGTACTTTATTTATTGCTCGTGAAGCCACTGAATGCTCAATTCAGGATTTTTTTCTTTCATCTAAGAATTTAGTGAATTCTTACAATTTTTCCCCAAATTTGGAAGTGAAATGTTACTATTCAATTTTAAATAATAAATTATTTCGTCAATGAGGGGATTTGGGATGAATTTTCTACTCTGAATCTAGTTCTTTTTAAGATAATTATACAGCTAATGGGAATGTGATGTAATTCTTACGTTTTACCACTTTTCTAGTGGTAATCAAGAAGTGGTCAATCAATTACTTAATGACGTTTTGTTACTCAAGTTACCATTCTTTTTGGAATATAAATTTATTCGTTAGGGTGCCATCTACTTTTTGTCGATAGTGATACATTATAATCAATTATTAGTCAATAAATTTCCTGTTTTATACAAAATAAATGAGTACAAAAATATGAAATTTGCGATTTTGCGACAGTTTTCTTCAGCATCACTTGTTGAAAATCCAATAACTTCTGGAGAATTTGTATAATTTTTTGTATCGAAGTACGCGAGAAATAACTGGGTTTGTTGGGAGATGGGAAAGCTGTTGGGGTTGCGTTAGCTTTTGGCTCCAATGAAGGATGTGGATTTACCAGTTTTCTTTATGTACTCGAGGATCTCCTCGGAGGGGAGGGACGATGTGACGAAGACTTTCTTTCCTTCCAAATCAATTTTTACGTCTTCGATGCCTGTGGAAATCAGAAGAATTTAACGTTTTTATTTTGTGAATAGGATGAATCGCTGAGTATTCTCCATAAGTGCTTCAACATTGAATTGAATTCGCAATCATATTGACATCAATTTGATATTCACATAATTTTTTACCAAAAAGCGAGCGAAAACGACGACTTTCTTTCTTTCCACATCAATTTTTTCTTTTATTCCAAGTAAATGTCTCTTAATTTCCACAATCATACCTTTGAAAGTCAAGAGACATCATTCGTTTTTTAATTAAACGAATAACGATGAACTTTTGAGAAAATGAAATTTTCAAATCTGGGGAAAATGGAAGAATTTTCATTACAACTTCTTCAGAATTCTTGAATATTCTCGTAAATTCTTCAATATCGAATTAAATTCGCGATCAATGATGAATCCAGTCATAATTTTGAATATCTAATTTAAACAAATGCCATATTTAGCTAATATCTGTGAATTAAAAAATGAGTAGAATAGCAAAATTTTCATGAAAACTTTTTTGTAGATTTCACTGTACTCTGAATATCGCTCTCTTTATTAAATCTCGAGGCTGTTTCCAAAAATTGTTATTCAAGTGAAATTGTCTTCTTCCGTTTCGGTAAATGCACTTTGAAGTCAATAAATTTGAATTTTCCCATCAGATCAGAAGTTCAAATGATAATTTGATGAAACGATTCATTCAAATTTAAAAAAAAGGCTGCGATTGTGGAAAATATGTTCTATTTTCTTCGAATTTTGCATGTCAATGGAAATTCTTTTCGAATTAAAAATAGTTCTTTTCTACATTTTTATTCATATGAAATTCCCAAAATAAAATGTCCAACTCACCAGCTTTATTCCCTAAAACTCGTTTGACCGCCCCCGAACAGCCTTCACAGGTCATTTCCACACTGAACTCGTGAATCTGTTGATGATGAAAAAAATAAAAATAAACAAACCAGAGTAGATAAAGAATAACGAGGAGAAATGCAGATGAGAATGATAAGTTACTTTAGTTGCCATAGTGACTGAGCCGAGATGTTCTGTAGCCGGATGATAATTACACGTAAGCAGCGGACACCCAATTGACGCGGCTTATTGTACGTGGAGCTATTTTATTTCGCTTATCAATCCTCGGCCGACATTTTTCAACGATAGGTTCCCCGGGTAGTGGTGACATCTGCAGGATTTCTTTCTTGTTGAATGGGGAGATGGAAAACAGCTGATTTGGTTTGAAATGGGCGTTCAACATTAAGGTATATTCCAAGACAATACCATTCAAAAGTTAATTTCTATTAATTTCCGGAAAAATTCTAAATGACTTAATTTATTGCGTTCTCATAAGTTACTGAGTCTTTCTATCCTCATATTTTATTGCTGAAGGCAACAATAACTGCTTGAATCAAATAAGTAATTATTTGTTAATTAATTATTTCAATCAAATATGAAATCAGTAGCGAAGTGCTAAAACGGTTTAAGTCGACTTATCTCTCAGTTCAGTTTTTCAAGAATATCTCCGAATCTAAAGGAGATAATGAAATTTTCGTAATAACCTTTTCTCTAGAGCAAATGAAGTGCTACAAGAAATGTCTGAACAAAAATTTCGCTATCTGCCTTAGATTCCGAGATATTCACTAAAAACTGACCAATTGTCAAAGTCGACTTGAACCGCTTTACCACTTCGCTACTGAAATGATTTCCTGAAATTTCCATTTTTTAGAATTGAATATCGCAAAAAACTATGCACGATAAAGTTTTACAAAAATTCACCGCATTTAATTATTTATCTCCTAAACTGTGTAGTACAGCTAGTTAATTTTTTTTTCAATAGCTGGGGAAGATTATAAACATTATCTCTGAAAAATATGGGGACAATCTTAAGAAAAATCTCTTTTCTAGAATATGCCTTAAGGTATGTCCCTAAACAATACCACCCAAAAGTTAGTTCCTATTAATTTCCGGAAAAAATTCTAAATGACTTAATTTAGAATTTAATTTAATTTAACGACCGTGGTTATGGCGCACACGTACTACTCAATTAAAAAACTGTTCATTCATCCTTTTAATTTAAAAAGTTGAAGAATGAAATAATTCTCATGTCCATGACCTCTAATTCATTTCAATAATTTTGGCATAAAAACAATAACTTTTAGAAAGCCTTGTTTGTGAAAAGACTCAATGACTCGAGCCGTAAGGGTAGAGCCACTTAAAATATCCCAATCTGGACTCGATTCTCAGAGAATACGCAAAAGTGTGCAGGTGAAGTGTAACGGAATTTAAGTTGGTGCGCATTTATTATGAAATGTGGCAGGTGACAGTTGCAGAAAGTGAAGGGTAACTCAATGAAACGCAGTTGCTCGGTGGCTTTTTTTTATTTTTACTTTTCAACATTCATCCCACGATCGTCATCTCCCATGTGGGCCCTGGGGATACGGTTATTGATCCGAGTGACTGCATGACAGAATCAATGCTACTGCTCAATTGAGAGTCATTGCTCTTGTTGGAGCGTTATACAGATAATGGAAAATTATCAGTGGTCTTTATTCTTCTGGGAACTGGGGGAGTGAAGCTATTTGTGGGAGGAATTTTCGTTGTAAGATCGCGACCTCAAGGATACGCTCCCATTTATCGTTGAATATAAAAAAATCGTGGATTATTCGTCATTAAAATTGAATTTTGCTGAAAAATTACTTTTTTTAAATTATTTCCTTTTCATAAATAAGTGGATAGACGATGGAAATTGTTCGATCTGATTCTTACTTAGCATGAAATGGATTACTGGTGAAATTTCTGATGTGAATGAATTTCTTTCGATTTAAGAAAAATGATTTTTGGGGTGAAAAATTGATTTTTTACAAATTATTGCAATTATTTCACGATTTATTCTTGTTGAATAGAGCTTGTTATTTTTACAGATTCTTATCATGTTCTCAAACGATTCACAATGAAGAATCGAATTAGGTCATCAAGTTTAATTTTTGCGATTTTTAATTATCAAATACAACAATCACATGGCGTGAGAAATGTAAACAGATTTTTCCCTATTTTTAAGCAATAATTTCTAGGGCAAAAAATCAATTGTTTATAAATCATTTATGAAACAAATGTAGAATCTTCAATAATCGCGTGAGAATTTTTTTTCCAAAATTCACGAAAACACAAGTTATTAAAATTACGTATTCAATTAAATTTCAACTGCAAAACTTAATTTTTAATTGAAATGCCATTTTACTACTCAAGATTTTTTAAATGTTAATGACAGCTTGAAATGTTGATGAAATTCAATATTTTTTCTTCAATGCGAAGAGCATTTCTTTCCCTTTGTAATGAGCCTAAACTGAGCTCAATTGATAGATTTGTTTCTGAGTTATGAGTAATTTAAAAGAAGTCCAAAGTGTCCATTTTACCCCATCCTCCCTCCCCTATTTCGATACGAGTCGACTTCACCTCGGACCGCCAACTTCACACTCGTGAAAATTCCCGTCTCACATCTGTCGAATATTTTTCATCACGCTGTGACGAAAAGTGAACTTTTCGGCACGCCCCGCGTGCCTAAAAGTCCAATTTCCGCCACATTGTGATGAAAAATATTGTTCGTAACTCGTGAAAAAATGTTTTTTAGCTCGTGGGGTTATATAACCTTCCACTCGCCAAAAAACACTTTTTTGCACTCGTTACGAAATATACTATTTTGACGGTAATGTTACGTTCAGCGAATGGCGGACCTGTGCCTTTTTCGTTTCCTCGTAAACGAAAATAATTTTCATTCATTTTTCGTTTACAAGTAAACGAAATAGTATATTTTGTAACGAGTGCAAAAAAGTGTTTTTTGCTAAAAAACATTTTTTCACGAGTTACGAACAATATTTTTCATCACAATGTGGCGGAAATTGGACTTTTAAACACGCGGAGAAAGTCCAATTTCCGCCACAGCGTGATGAAAAGGCACTTTTGGGAACGAGATGAACATAGCAGCAGTGTCAAAATAGTATATTTCGTTACGAGTGCGGAAAAGTGTTTTTCATCACGCTGTGCGAAAAAGTAACTTTTTGGGCACACTTCGCGTGCCTAAACCGTCCCTTTTCCACACATTGTGATGAAAAGGCACTTTTGGGAACGAGATGAACATAGCAGCAGTGTCAAAATAGTATATTTCGTTACGAGTGCGGAAAAGTGTTTTTCATCACGCTGTGCGAAAAAGTAACTTTTTGGGCACACTTCGCGTGCCTAAACCGTCCCTTTTCCACACATTGTGATGAAAAGGCACTTTTGGGAACGAGATGAACATAGCAGCAGTGTCAAAATAGTATATTTCGTTACGAGTGCGGAAAAGTGTTTTTCATCACGCTGTGACGAAAAGTGAACCGCGATTTCCGCCACATTGTGATGAAAAATATTGTTCGTAACTCGTGAAAAAATGTTTTTTAGCTCGTGGGATTATATCACTCGCCTTCGGCTCGTGATATAAACCTCCCACTCGCCAAAAAACCCTTTTTCATCACGCTGTGACGAAAAGTGAACCGCGATTTCCGCCACATTGTGATGAGAAATATTGTTCGTAACTCGTGAAAAAATGTTTTTTAGCTCGTGGGATTATATCACTCGCCTTCGGCTCGTGATATAAACCTCCCACTCGCCAAAAAACCCTTTTTCATCACGCTGTGACGAAAAGTGAACCGCGATTTCCGCCACATTGTGATGAGAAATATTGTTCGTAACTCGTGAAAAAATGTTTTTTAGCTCGTGGGGTTATATAACCTCCCACTCGCCAAAAAACCCTTTTTCATCACGCTGTGACGAAAAGTGAACCGCGATTTCCGCCACATTGTGATGAAATAGTATATTTCGTAACGAGTGCAAAAAAGTGTTTTTTGCTAAAAAACATTTTTTCACGAGTTACGAATAATATTTTTCATCACAATGTGGCGGAAATTGGACTTTCTCCGCGTGTTTAAAAGTCCAATTTCCGCCACAGCGTGATGAAAAGGCACTTTTGGGAACGAGATGAACATAGCAGCAGTGTCAAAATAGTATATTTCGTTACGAGTGCGGAAAAGTGTTTTTCATCACGCTGTGACGAAAAGTGAACCGCGATTTCCGCCACATTGTGATGAAAAATATTGTTCGTAACTCGTGAAAAAATGTTTTTTAGCTCGTGGGATTATATCACTCGCCTTCGGCTCGTGATATAAACCTCCCACTCGCCAAAAAACACTTTTTTGCATTCGTTACAAAATATACTATTTTGGCTCGTGGGGTTATATCATTCGCCTTCGGCTCGTGCTATAAACCTCGCACGAGCCAAAAAACACTTTTCCCACGAGTATCGAACGATATTTTTCATCACAATGTGTGGAAAAGGGACGGTTTAGGCACGCGAAGTGTGCCTAAAAAGTTACTTTTTCGCACAGCGTGATGAAAAGCGTTATATTCTATTCCATTAAGGATTAACAGAAGGCCATTGTCTTCTCGAAATTTTTAAAAAACTTCCCGCTCAAAATTATTAATAGTTTTTGAACCCAAGCACATTGATCTTCATCATCACCTTCTGAAGATTAATGTACTTCGATTTTCAAAAATATCGATAACTCTCAGCAGGAAATCTGTTCAAATTTTGGAAAATTAAGGGCATTCCGTTACCCCTCAACACTTTTGAATTGGACGACGGAAAAGTTTCTCGCAAGTAAATGAGGATGCGCCACCGTGCGCAACCCGCAATCAAACAAATCCCCGAATCTCCACCCCCACTTACCGTCAACAACAATTAATAACAATTGATAATACCAGAGTATCGTCCGTTACAATTTAATTGGCCGGTGTTTTGGCACGTGACCATACCAACGGAGTGCAGCAACGGTCGTGCTGTCTCGTGCGTGAAATGCCCAACACCTGGAGAGGCACAGAGGTGTGTTGGTGCCTGTGTGAAACGGAGCAACACCCGTACACAAGAGCCGTAGTCAGCCAGTTGCCGGAGAGGTATATGTGTTTCAACGTTCGAGGTGTATGGAACCCAGTGAACGGTTTACCGTGCGTTTGTGTACATTGTATCAAGGACTCTCGCGGTCAGTTTTGTTTCGATAATGCTCCGGGATTGTTAGTTTTGTGAAGTGAATTCGAGAGAACGTGATCAGCCAGTGACAAAATGGGATTTAAACTGCAGAGCTGGTTTCGGCGACGCCGGTGAGTTTATTTTCATTGATTAAACTATTTCAGTGAGCATTTTACAGCCTGGTAACCCTCTAATCGCCCCCAAAAATAATTAAGAACTTGTGGTGTGGGGAGGGAATGTTTGTTGGAGTATTTCGAGCGGAAATCACTCGGAATTGAGGGAAATTCTTGGGCCTTCAGAGCTGATGTTCACCGTTGCTCCCAGCGGTTACGGTTACCTGGAAAAATATCGATCCCGCGGTATCTCAAAACGGGATTGTGAGAGAAATAAAATGTCTCATTTTATTCGTAAAATATGAACGAGTTTGGGCGCAATACATAACAGGGACTCGGTCAACTGTTTCCGCGAGATTTTTGTAAATATTTACTGTTGCCGGTGGATACAGGTAGCGGTGGGGTCGTGCGGCTTAGGGTATTCAGGGATTTTAGGTTCGTTTACGTGATTTTCAATATTTGTACAATGAGAAAAATTCTTGTGCTAGCAACGTAAATGAGTCACAATTTGCAGACTTGGAAAAATTACTTTTCATCATTTGTGCGCAAATTGAAATTGTGAAAATCCCAGTTTCCAGTTTCCAAATTGGGAAAGTCATAGACGGCGGGGGGAGGGAGGCCCCCATCTAAAAATGTATTTAAAAAATATATAATATGGGCCAATTCCATATATTTTTTATAAGTTCTTTATAAATTTGAAAAATTTAATAGTAATAATAACTGACTGGGATAATTTTGTTTTCCATATATAAAATAAAATTATTATTGTTATTATTATTGATTTATTTGTAAAATATATGAAATATATGTTTTACATATACTTTTTTTTATATAAATTGGGCCACTTCAAAATATTCTTTAAAATATTTTTCAAAACATAAATTTTTCCGTGGGGGGGGGGGGGGGGGAATTGTGACAGCCGTCATAAACGCCTCGTCATGTGACACATTTGCATCTTTAATTCCAAGGCCTAAATGGAAATCAAATAAGACTCTTCGAAGGATTTTCTTCATGGGGAGTAGATGCGTTGTACTGAAGAGCACATTGTATGATAGAATGCGCGCAGTGCATTGCGCGGAAAAACCGCTCGACTGTGGCGTATGCGTCACAACTGAAGAGTTAATGTCTGCACCTGTTGAAGATCCATTATAACACACAACATCTTTGAGGTAATTGCGTAATTAAAGTTCTCATTTGAGAATCATTTCCCTCTTTTTAGAATTGTTAATGGCAATTTACTGGGCTTACGTCACCATTAGGAATGTCTCTGGTCTGAAGGATTTTTTTATCCACGATTTTTGAACAGAATGGCCAGAATGATGATGGAGATTGTCAGGCTGAGAGGCAATACCAGTTTTTACGACTGTTTTTATGAATTATTCATCTTGGTTGTTCACGAGTGATTCGGTGATATATCGCGTTTCGTAATAGGGGTTTATTTGATTGATATCCGGGGGTTTCCGTGGGAGTGGGGAAAGATAAGTGAATTTCTTTGGATTTATTGAATTTTTTAAAGGGGAATTATGGGAATTTTCCCATTTCTCGTGGTGAGTTACAGTTTCAAGCTGAGTTTTTTAGAGATAACTATCGAAAATTTTTTCCAGAAAAATCTCTATACACTTTTGAAACAATTAGTAGAACAGCCTGGCGCTTTCTTCTAAGAATTTTTTGTTATTTATTAGAGTTTTAGGAGAATTTTATTGGAAGATTCTATTTGTTTTTTGTGCCACTCCTTTAAAAATTATACAGCTCTCCCCTGCATTCTAAGTAAATATTTGTTTATAGAAAAACATTTTTAGATGTTCATTTTTCTGTATAACTCATTCTCTTGGGTTTTTTCTCTAAAAATTGTAGGGTATGAAGTTTTTTATTTGGATTTTATTACGAGAAAATAAAAATACAGCGGAAGCATAGAAAATTTATGCTTAAGAATGACAATAGAAAAATCGAAATCTATTCAATTTTTTACATCAAATAACTCTCAATAAAATGTCACAATGAAGTTGTATAGAATTGACGCGAAAAACGAATACAATTTTAATAGAACTGCAATAAAATTCTTATTTAGTTTTAAAAAAAATAGAATTTCCTGGGAAAGCGCTAGGTTTGTTTATTAAGTAAGTTTTTTTTTAGTAAATTCTTTGGTAAGTGCAGGAATTGTCGTATTTTTCTTGGATGTTCCAAGGTTTTTAAGAACATTCTATTCTGTAAAACCTATCTATTCAGTGAAATCGATTTTAAAGACTCTATTCTATTTTAAAACTTCAGGATCAGTTTTATAGGGATAAATATCTTAGGAAGGTAGTAAAATTTTTATGAGGACATTCTTTCTAGAGCTCGCTTTACGTGTACTCTATGAAAGCAACTTCATGAAAATATTGCTATTTCCCCTGGATTGCAAGATTTTCTTCAAAAACTGATCTTCACGGACAATTGACTCATCCTGTTTCGGCACTTCACTACTGATTTTGCGAACAATCCTCCTTGTACATGCAAATTTCGTCAAAAATTGAATAGAAAGGACACGTTTTTTTTGTTAGCTTTTGAGGTACTGGTGAAAGACCTTTCATCTGATAAAAATAGGCTGTTGTGGAGTTCTCACTTTGTTTTTCAAGAAAAATCTCTTCAGGAGTTTCAGGGAATCTACAGGAATTTTGTTATTTTCCTTGAAAATTCTGTTTCGGTGTAAAAAAACTTCATTCTTTTTTAAAACTTCAGAATGAGTTTTATAGAGATAAATATTTCTGCATGGCAGGGAGGTAGTGCAATGTTTATGAGGACATTCATTTCCAGATCTCGCTTTACTCTATAAAAAAAAACTCTTCATAAAAATATTGCTATTTCCCCCGGACTGCAAGATTTTCGTCAAGAACTGATCTTCAAGCTCAATTGACTCATCCTGTTTCGGCATTTCTATACTGATTTCACGAACGGTTCTCCGTACTTGTATTGAGAACCCAAAGAAACTAAAAAGTGTGAGTAGTGTAGTTGAAAAAATAGGGAAATTTCGTCCAGAAATTGAAAAGAACGGACACGTTTTTTCTGATTAACTTTTGAGATACTGATGAAAGACCTTTCATCTGATAAAACCGACTCTTATGATATCTCAGAAACTACTGGGGCATAACAGGTCGGTTTTTTTCCAAGATTTAGAATAAAATTTCACTGGAATGACTTGCAGCCTTCAATCTCGCAAGTGCTCATTGTTCCTGAGTTCAGTAGTCAGTTTCAGAGTGAATTGGTGAGACAGGATTCGACTCAACTTCAGGGGAGTTTTTTTGGAGATGAATGTCGGAATTTTTATGAGGACATTTTTTGTCGACCTGAATTTGTTTTGTAGAAGAGATCTCCATAGAAATTCCGCTGTCTCTCTCGAGTTCTAAGTTGTTTTCAAATAATTAGTCTACAGGTGAAATTGATTGGCCGTTTTCTGTGAGAATAAGAGAGAGAAAAGTGGGGATTGTCGAGTATATCCAAGTGCTTCGGACATTTCTTGGGTTGAAATGTTCTTCAACATTTATAGTTAAACATCAGAGCTTTCATTTAAACGTCATTTGATTCTAGGGTATCGATGACTTTGCAATCATTTTATTATTCAAACTTCAAGGTCTGGATTGATTCTCAATTTCGAATCGTTAGAAAACATTCTAAAAATCTGAGAACAATTGGAAAATTCACTTTTTGCGAATTATCTCTTTTTACAGATGATGAGACAGGAGAATAGTTTATGAGATGCATAAACAATCAATTTTTAATTCTGAAAATCATTCCTTTGAAATTCTAAAAAAAATGGCCCCGATTAATTATTTTACCAAAAATTAATTCTATACAAAATGGAAATTATAATTCTAAATGAATGGAAAACGTGTCTATCCGAATTTTATGGAGGAAGTGCGCTGGCGAAATTTGGATTACTGATAGCAGCCCTCAACTATAGAGTAATAAAAGGTCAGGTAGATGCATGAAGACCGCTGAACATAGAGTTAGCGTAAATAAATGAAGTTTATACATAATTAATAAAGACAAGATTTTTTTTCTTGACATATTAATATAAATAATATAAATGTTGATAAACCAATAAATTTCAAAATGTGAGGAGCAAAATTTGCGATCATATTCAAAAAACAATTTTTAAAAAAATACATTGGGGATTGTTGTTAAATTTTCCGATAGAAAAAAAAATCGAATCCCTAATTTTGAGTGGCCGAAGACAATTTTGACCGACAAAATTCGATTCCTGAGAGAAAACCACGCGAAAGATAGTATTTTTAATTTTTTTTCTTGAAAACCGGAAAAATTTTTTCCCGGGGTGAACCTCCCCTTAACAAATCAAAATTCCCTGAAAAAAACCTACACGTCCTTGAAATAAATTCCCAAAATTCCGGAATGAAAAATCTAGATCTTCAGACAGCTGAGCTCCCCTCCCCCCGCGCAATCCGCAATTAAACTAATTCGTTCCACTGAAAAATCCGGAAACCTCGACATTTTTCATCAATCACACGAGCGCGGCGAGACCCCGCTGTCCTCCCCTTCTGCCGCCAGTCACAATATGAATTCCGAAAATTGCCGAGCCGGTGTGGACGGTTAGTCACGTGGCCGTCACGAAAGATACCGAAGTTGTACATTAAATCGGACGTATAAAACTGCGGGGGGGAAAGAGAGCCTGCCCCCCGTGTTACCTCGCCGACTGAGCCGTTATACCTTTCCTCTTTTACCACTTGTCGCCAGTAGTGAGTCGACAGTTCAGCCGAACTGTGTTGTTACAAACCGGTGTTCACTGTATTTACCCGTGTGTACTCTTTCTAAATAGCAATAAAACGTCAAACGTCCGATTGAAATACATAAAAAAAAATCGGGGTCAACGAGTGGAATTTTTCATAATTTATTTACATTTTTTTACCCATTATTTACTGAATTAATTGGTGGACTTGGGCTTGACGTTGAGTTGTTGTATTGCGAGAATAAACTGATCGTTGAGATTTGATTTATGGAGATGGTTCGTTCCAACGCGCTCAATGTGAGTAATTGTTTTTTTTTTCACTGGCAATTCTTCGCCTTCATCTTCATTTTACTTCAGTAAAAAAAAATTGAATAAAATTTGATTGTTGTCTGTAAATCAATGAAGTTGAGTCAATAATTCTTGAAGTATCATTCGATTGTAGTCGATTGATCTTGTAGTGAATTGTTATCACCGAGTGGAATGTTTTATTCAATTTATTTTGTCATTATCAATGAATCATTAAGTTAATCGTCATTTTTAAGGACAGTTGTTGATTATTCTTGCCGTAGAAAAATATTTTATCTTCATTACGATAAAATCCCTCGGCTGATAGCAATCGTGGAATTATCGAGACTGAAATCGTTAGTCTGGAGAAACTATCGCTATTGTTTTCGATTTATCAGGGCACAGTATTAATTTCGATGACACATGTGTCTCTTCCATACTTTTACGATCTTGTAGGCAATATTTACGCTTGAATTTGAGTGATCGAACGATAACGAGACTATTGTATTCGTTTGTTGCTGTTGGGGATCGATCAAGGTCGGTGGGTATATTACAGCGAAACTGATGCAAGTGAGAAGTTGAACAGGTGCATTAAACGGTGAATGAAGGATTACTGGGAGTTACGAAATGTTTGTTCTAGGGGAGATAATTTTTTTCATTGAGAAATTACGAATGAGGAATTTATTAAATGAGAATTATCGATGGGAGTCAATAATTACTAATTATTTGGTTTGCACACGAGATTAACACGTGATTAATTCAGTTATTGATCATCAATGGTAATTGATAATTCATAATTAATGGTTATTGATGATTAATTTGAGTTGAGTGAACGAATAATTAATATTTTTAATACTTAACGTCAATATTCGAAGGAAGAAATATTGCTTTCGGGGAATTTTTTCATCCGTGCGAAGATATGTCTTTTTTTGGAAATGGTTTCCAAATGGAGAATCCTTTTTTCATAGCGGAAGAGCAATTGACATTCGAATGAAAAATATCCAATAACATTAAGCATCGCCTTCCTTCCTGCATTAGCGATATTTAGTAATTAATGCAGTGAGAATTGAATAGGTACATTAAACGGTGAATGAAGGATTACTGGGAGTTACGAAATATTTGTTCTAAGGGAGATAATTTTTTCATTGAGGAATTAGGAATGAGGAATTTATTAAATGAGAATTATCGATGGGAGTCAATAATTACTAATCATTTGGTTTGCACACGAGATTAACACGTGATTAATTCAGTTATTGATCATCAATGGTAATTGATAATCCATAATTAATGATTATTGATGATTAAGTTGAGTTGATCAGACGAATAATGAATATAAATATTTAAAGTCAATATTTGAAGGACATTGGTTTCAGGAATTTTTTCAATCAATCATCGCATTCCTTCTCGCATTATCGATTTTGATCGTCAAATGTTGAATGAAAGATTCCTGAGAGTTACAAAATGTTTGTTGTAGGGGAGATAATTTTTTTTGATTGAGGAATTAGTTTATTAAGTGAGAATTATCGATGGGAGTCAATAATTATTAATTATTTGTTTTGTGCACGAGATTAACACGATTAATTGAATTATTGGTCATCAATGGCAATTGATAATCCATAATTAATGATTTTTGATGATTAATTTGAGTTGATTGAACAAATAACTAATATTGTAAATATTTAAAGTCAATATTTGAAGCACGAAACATTATTTTCAGGGATTTTTTTTTTTGAAATATTTTCCTAATGGAAAATCCATTTGTCATAACGGAAGAGCAATTGACATTCGAATTGAAAATATCCGAAAGCATCAATCAATCACCGCATTCCTTCCCTCATTATCGATATTTAATAATTGATGCAGTGATAAATTGAACAGGTGCATTAATCAGTGAATGAAGAATTACTGAGAGTTACGAAATGTTTGTCTTAAGAGAGATAATTTTTTTCATTGAGGAATTAGTTTATTAAGTGAGAATTACCGATGAGAGACTTCACTTATTGGTGATTTATGTTTTGTACACATGATTAACTCAATTGTTGACCATCGGTGATAATTGATAATCGATAATTAAAGTTTATTGATGATCAATCTGAGTTGATTCAACGCATAATTAATATTATAAATATTTAAAGTCAATATTTGAAGCACGAAACATTATTTTCAGGGAATTTTTTCAATCAATCATCGCATTTCTTTTCTCATTATCGGGATTTACCATCAAACGTTGAGTGAAGGATTCCTGGGAGTTACGAAATGTTTGTTCTAGGGGAGATAATTTTTTTATTGAGGAATTAGTTTATCAAGTGTCAAGTGTCAAAAGTCAACAATTATTATTGATTATTTACGTTTTGTTCACGTAATTGACTCAATTATTCATCATCAATGATAATTAATAATCTAGAATTGATTATTGATGATTAATAGGAATTGATTGAACGAATAATTAATATTATAAATAGTTAAAGAGAATATTCACAGGACGAAACATTGGTTTCAGGTAATTTTTTCATTCATCAAGATATATATATTTTTTTATAATATTTTCCGAATGAGGAATCCATTTTTCGTAACAGAAGAGCGATTGACGTTCGAATTAAAAATATCCAAAAACATCGATCAATCATCGTATTCCTTCTCTCATTATCGATACTCAATATCATCTCCAATTTAGAAGGCATTATCGCCCATTGATTGACGTGTTAATTCGGGACGGTTCGTATTGATCACCTTAATAGGACTTCTGATCAGTTTATCAGACAAAAATACAAAAACCCTCCGATAACTGATGAAGTATTTTCTGTGATGAGTTTTACTTTATGTCACAAATCAAATTAAATTTTATAGGGACTAGATTGCGTGAGAGATTCTCGTATTTCATGATGAGTCAATTTGAAAATAGTCTGATGTAAATATTTTCAATCTACTAAACAAAACCACTAGAGACAAACTGTATGAGTTGGAACAATTCAGCTATTTTTCTCCAATTTTATTAAATTCACAAATCAAATTAAATGATCTTTTTTTTTCAAATTAAAATTAAAATTTAATATAATTAAAATTTCAATTTACAGTTTAAATTTAAATCGGAATTGTATTTTACGAGGGGTCCCCTTGTTTCGACCTTCATTTTTGTAAATAAATAATAAAAATGATAAGAATGAGTCTTCTTAAATGGAATCTCTGACATTGCCCGGTGGCTTGGCGCAGTAAGTTCGTTGCCTCACATGCGAAAGGGGTTCCGAGTTCAAATCCCGGCCGGGTGCGATCTAACCACTAAAAGTCTTGATCATCATCGCAGTAAACCCTAACCGGGTCGAAGCGATGTAAAATAACAAAAAAAAAATCTCTGACATTCAATTACTAAATTCAAAGAAAAAATAGTCCCAAGAACTGATGTACAAATAAAAGTCTCTCGGACAGACTAGAAATAGTACGAACATACCTAGAACAATAATTATAAAATTGTTGCTCCGTGCTCAGTGTTCGTTCACGGTCCGTAGGGCAGCCCGGCACTTATTGCCCACTGTCTTTTCCCATTCGATGACCTCGGAACGTGTGTTTTTGTTCTCCTTCTTCCTGCTCCTCCTTCTTTCTATGTCTTTCATGTCTCATCCTACCGATAATCGTGCACCTAAATGTACCGCATTGCCTCAACGCTCGTTAGCCTCTGATCTCAATCGTTCCATAAGACCATTCATGGTTTTTGGAGTTGTAGGACAAGTCTTGTCATTGATAACGGATAATTTTTATGAATTTATCATTAGATGAAATAGTATGATTAGGGGCTCACAGGGAATTTGTTTATTGCGGTGTATGTCGATGATTTATCGCGATGCATGCTGCAAAATTGATGAGATCTTTCAAAAACTGATGAAATATTTTCTTTGATGAGTTTTATTTTATGTCACGAATCACAAATTATATTTTATAGGGACTAGATTGCGTGAGAGATTCTCGTCTTTCAGGATGAGACAATTTGAAAATAGTCAACATGAATATTTTTAATGTACGACATAAATATTTTTAATCAGACGATTGAAAACGTCAAACTTTTCCTTAATTATTGCACACAGAGAAATAGTCTGTTTGAATGTAAGGACCTTATTCAAACTTAAGTTTGATTTTTATTTGCATTTTTATTCACATAAAATGAATAGTTTTTTTGAATAAAAGCAAATTTTTTCTTGATTCAAATCAAGGCTTCATTAGTTAGAAATGAAATTATTATTTCAAAAAGGAAGACAGCTGATTTATTTATATGTCATTTGTTTATTTATTGACGTGTTCTTTACAATGTTTTACTCGATTCTAACAGAGGATTTATTAACTAATTATCTATTTCATATAATTGAAACATTTTCGTTGATATCAAGATGATTTTAGTGCTTTAAAAAAATCATTGGAATGAATGGAAAAATTGAAATAAATGTCATGCAACAAACCAATTGTCACAATCCTAGGAATATTGTTCTCATATTATTTTGTCTTCTTGAAATCTATTCTCCACTCGTTCATTACCCCAAATATTTGAGTAAATATATAATCGATGAGTATTCATGCCCAATTAATAGAACTCTCGAGGGAATATTAACCTGGAGGAGTTGCGTAAAACGTCAACCTCATTATAAAAATTTATCTCGTAGATACGGAACCTGGCGCCGAGATGATGCCACGAACATTACTCGCATTGCCGTCATCTAGCAAATACACAGTGTCGTATCGCGTTATCACTGAATGCAGTTCGCGATAAAAATCTGTAGAAATTAACGAAGACAAATAGAGGGAATTGTTGTACAGAAGGAGATTTGCGGGAAAAATATTCTTCAAGATGGTTTTCTTCGGGAAAAAGTGTAATTTCATGGACAGTCTAGTAGTTATTTTTGCAAGAGGGTCATTGATTTCGATTTAAGGGGAAGAGACTCATTAATAATTGAAGATTTAATTGAAGACTCTACTGGTTTTATGGATTTCAATGAGAATTCAGGTGGAAATTCCACAACTTACTCCAT